CTGGATAGTTTCTTCACAAGCCCAACTGATGACATGATAAAAAAATTAAAATAATGTAAAAAATAAAATAAAATCTTACCTGGGCAAGAATTCATTTCAGTTTCTCAGTTTATTCTCACTTCAATTCTGCCCAGGAATTTACTTTTTTAAACCTTAAAAGTTTTTGTACGATGAGGAAATCACTTCCACTCTGACAGAGTCTTACTTCCATAATTTCATATTTATCTGTCACTGCTCTTTAAAACTTTGAGAAAATATCACTATCCTGGCCCCTTTCTCTCACTCAGGATTGTCAGCAACATTTTAGACTTAGACTTGAGAGGCCACCACAGTGCTCAGTCACCCACATCACTGCAGATTTTAAGCCTGGAGCATCCAACTGGATTTTCCAAATTGTATCCTATGCTCCCCATCTCAAGCCTTAAATTTCCACTAGACACAGGGCATAGCTAAAGTCAAGAGCAGACTTCACAGCTTTTGGCTGCTTATGTGTTGGCCAACGTAAGTTCAGCAGTGACTTTGTCCTGCTCAGCTTTACGCAGCTGGCAGAGACCTTGGTTTTAGAGACAGGTGCTTAGAGCTTTCTGCAGACCAAGCATTGCTAAATGTTTCATTGCTGACGACCCATAACCCCCAGTCACTCAAGGATCATCAAAATCCCTGCTCCTCCATAGCCTGCTCTGATCCCTAAAAGCTTCTTGTGTGAATTCAAGCCCACCTGGAGTTGCTATTCCCTCCCCAACCCATTCAACCACTGAGTCCTCTCATCCATCCTCAATATATTTTGCTAATTCTTTCTGCACCCTCTCTCTACAAGGTTGTCGTTCTCATCTATCCATGCATAGATTTTCATCAGGGTAACATCACCTCCTTCAGCTTCGAGAGATACAATCTAGAGCTGCTTCTGTTCTTTCAGAACATGGCTTGTTCCTTTAGCCCAACACCTCATCTTTATCTTGCATCCCCTCAGTGGCACCTTTTTCTAGGATATCAAACATTAACTACCTTTCTTTTCAAGATGCCTGATGCATGAAGGTACTTATCCTATCTTTTTTTTTCTTTCCTAATTCCTGAGGAGACAATACCCACCTCCAGTTTTCCAACACTAGCAGAACTTAAAGAAAATCCACACAGTTCAAGATAACTGCTGTGCTATTTTTTGGTATAATAAACAAATTGTTAACAGTTTTGATTTCTTTCCTCAGTAACTGTGAGAGTTGAAATAGCAACAGAAAGAATACAGGCAATTCTGCTTCTGTCTCAGGTGAACAGGACATTACAAAGGAGCTGACAATTTGACAATTTTCAGTGCAAGTTTTAAATAGCTTTAAGAACCTACAGTTTGTACTTCTTTTAAATTCAGAAATTCCATGTATTCCACAGACTCAAACAATGTTTGCATGAAAAGGGCTACAAACATTTTAGAAGAGTTGACTTGATTAATATTTATGAATATTAAGGACATTACGTATTATACCAGCACACATAGGGAGCAAGAATACAATATTTTACTGTTCACAGGGATTTTATTGGATATTAACAAACACCTCTGCTATGCTGCAGAGCTTGATTCTTTAGCCACCCAGGAAGGTTAGTAATAAAGATAAAAAAATCTAGTACATGCCATGAAATATTTTACTGTAATTAGACTATGGTTCTTAAAGGTGCAGCACTTAACATCCTCAGCTTATTCTGGAAACTGGTAGAAGATGCAGATTTTTGTCTGCTATTCCAAACATCCTGGCCACCTGGTATCCACAGGTACACTACACAGCTCTTCTCCAGCTACCCAGATTTTTAACATGAAGCCCGTGTGGATGACTATGGCAGGAGTCATTCTGACTCCCTCACTCCTTCACACATATAAAAGAGAAGTTGGAAAATATTCCTGAATTTTTCAACAGTGACAGGAACTTGCAACAGCTACTTCATCTGCCAAGTACCATTCAGCCAGACCGGAGTGAAAACAGTGTTTGTTTTTGAGGTTTGACCAGTTGTCACCTGAGCTTCAAAAACGAAGCACTGTTCTCCTCCCTCCTTCCAGCTGCTGCACTCTGTAGATGACAGGACCTGTTTGAAGTTTTACTTTTATTTAAAACGCTTAAGGCAAAATTCTACTCTCAGATCTGCAGAGAGCATCACAACAGAGATGTTGTGCTCTCCTCACATGCACAGAGCTAGTCTGCTCCCCTTCATCTATTGTCCTGGGAGCCACTGCCACGTGGGGAGAACATATGGGGGACTAAGACCCTTTGTGCAGACCAAAGAGCACTGGGTGCAATGTAAAAAAATTATACACCACCAGACTCCGGAGCTTCAGCAAACCACACACTCTCAACTCACTCTACTTTGCTCAGATGTGAAGGGCTTTTAAGCAAAATTAATTGTGGAATGAAGCATATTGTCAGTGGGGGGCTGGGGGGGAATGAGACTCCTCCATCCCATCCATCCAACAACTCTTCAGAAACTCAATGGCCTTTGCCCCTAAGACTCTGGCATTATACTTAAGGATATTGTTGGACATCAGTACTGGGAAAGATTCAAATGACAATCCTCATAACTATTATGTGTTAATCAGCAGGCAAGGTCCAGAGGCTCCAACACACCTTTACCTTTTTATTGTATACAGTTAAGTTCCTACTACCAACCCACATTCTCTCATTGCTCTTGGAGAAGCTCAGGCTATATAAACGAAACAGCACCTTTAGCTTGAAGTTTATATATCTTCACAGCTACCAACAAGACTTGCAACTTTACCCCTATTTACACAGTGCTGGCACAAAGACACCCATGAGACAGACCCTTGTTCAAGTAATAGTACACTGTGAACATGTAAAAATGGATTTCCGTGATTTCAAGTCATTTGCATGTGCAGAAGCACCAGTTAAATACCCATCATAGCTCTAGATTTGTTTCTTCTCAAATTATTAGTGCACTCAATGTCAGTGTGTGGATTATTCTGATGCTGTCCAAAGATGGTTTGAAAGTGGACTTGTGTGTGTGACTGTGCATGCATGCATGTCCTGGGGCTACACATAGGATATTACTCAGACCAAAGGTGGAGATTGTTCTAAACCTGATTTTACAGATGGAGACCAGAAACATAGAGGAGAAATGATCTAACAGAGGACAAAAAGGAAAGAATGTAGAAGTGTGGGAGTTCTACCCAGATTTCTGGATGACAATTTATTAGCCCAGTGCCACAAAAATATTTTTATTTTCAACTTTTGGATGAACATCATTTCAAATCTTTAAAACAGGAACAAACTAGAGGCTATCTATATTTGATTCCAGAAAAATTCTATAAGAACTTTCCATTTTTATTTAATTGTTTTTACTTCTGGAACACCCAATATACAGAAGTATACTTAAAAAAAACAACCAAACAAAAAAGTATGATTAAAAGTATTCTGTCACATTACATATATTTTATCCAGTAACGGAAGATCAGCAGGAGTCAATTTATACTGCAAGAGAATAATCATGTACCTCAACTCATTTTAATTTCAATAATTGAGAATGAGAAATAGGAAAGCCTATTGAAAGGACTGTATTCTGGTCAAAGACTAATGAGAAAATAGTTTTGAGTCTCTGAGTCAGCGGGTGTCATGGTAACAACGCATTATCGAAATCTGATTAGCATGCCCAGCAGCTTTATAAATGATAACATGCTCTTCTAATTGTATTTCCCTTTCTTTCCCTGTGATGAGCTTTATATTCATAACAGGTAAGAGGTAAGGCAGCATTCTGTTTATCTGCGAGTTAGACTTAGGATGTCCAGCATGCTCACAAACTCTGTGCAACCTGCCATTCAGTAGCAGAAAAGTTTTCCTACCATCTTAAAATAAGAAGCTGAGCCCTCCATTTCTCTCCTCCTGTATTATATGTGATTATTTAAGTCAAATACTTTTCTCTTCTTTTAACTATATGAAATTATTTATAAGGATATACACATGAAAAAGCAAACCTTGTGAAACACAAGCATCTTAAGAAAAAGCCTATGTTTCACAGGAGAAAGAGATGCAAGAAACTAGTAAGTTCACATTTAATTCATCCCAGAAAGCATGACTCCATGTTCTTGAGGTTTTGAAAACAGGGAGCGGGTTTTCTTGTGTTTAGAGGATTGTGTGTGTGTTTGCTAACTCATGACAATACCAGAAATCAGGAGGAACCATGAAATTAAATAGCATACTTTTCCTTCTCATGAAGGAAAGAGCTAATATTGCTTCATAAAATAAATACAATGAAAATACAAGGTTGAAGGTTTAATAATGTTCTTTTTATAAGTGAACCTCAGGTGTATAGCCTGGCAGACCTTTATTATATTAACAGTAAAGAACTCTATTACAACTGCAGCCTCACAAATCTGATGCAAAATCATTTTAACATAGAGAGGCTCAATTTTAACAAATGCAAATCTTGGGGGTTTTTTGAGAGTAAAATGGCACTCCATTTTTCAACAGAATGAACAAGAAATCTACTTCATGTTTGGCCTATTTCCATGACTCTTGTAACCTAAATATTTATTTCTTATTTTCAATGTTCACTTTCATTTATTAATTCAGCTTGAAATCTGTATAAAGAGAAAGGAGGAAGGCTCATATTCTCTAGGTAAACTCAAATACTCTTAGTCATATGACAAATAATGCCTAACACAAGAAATCAATTTTTCTGTCTTATTAATAATGGAACTGTGTTTGTTATAGTGCATGAACATGGAGAAAATGAATACAGTGAGACCTAAAAAGCTTATTACTCCTTGTTACGTGCACTGGCACGTGGACAAAGTTTAAGATGTACAAAATACTAAAAGCAATCAATCTTAAGTCAACACACAGAAAGTCAGAGGAACATTTATCTACATGTTTGGAAATTCAGCAGAGAGTGCAGGGTTACACTGAGAATAGAAAGTCATCAAAGCAGGCCAGTGAACAAAGAAAGAGCAAACAAGTACTCCCCAGAAGGGATTAGCGCTGGTTCAGGGGACTGTTTGCACTAACCTTGGATGGAAGCAGCAGCCCGAAAGTCAATCAGTGTGACCTTCACCTGTCAGGAAGATGTTCCCATCAGGTAAAGCCCACATTTTCCAGAGGTGGTCATCACTGCCAGTGACTACAATGTCTTTTCAGGGATGTAAAGCCAAGCTATAACAGAAAAGAAAGGCAGATTATATTCTGTATGAATTCTGGTTTGTGTGAAATACACAGTAGTGAGATTCATTTAACTCAGGGCAACAGCTACAGAGGAGTCTGATTCTGGAGGGACTGAACAAGCAGTGATGCTTTCTATGCTCATAAAAATTTAAAATATATGCTATGTAGATGAGTTTCTGCTGCTACGGAAAAACACAACAAAACATGACTGACTCCTGTGAAACCAGAATTGTTTCCACACTCTCTTTAACTTCCAGTTGGTCAAAACACTGAAATATGTTTTAAAATACTTTGTTAGATTACGTTCTTACAAACATGCAACAGGATAACATATGAACAAGCAGAACAAATGTGAATCACTTTTTGCCACACCCAAAATAACTTCAAAAGCATTGGCTTGTCAGCCTGCTCTTGGTGGCCAAAGGGAAAAAGGACAAAAGGACACTCTTTTTTTTTTTTTTTTTTTTTTTTTTAAATTGTGCCCACAGGTCTAAAGTCTCCTACCACTGAGAAATAACTCAAATGATAATAACAGTCCAGAAGCTACAGTCTTTGCCATCACTTCAGCACCTATTCACTGGGACTAGGTCAGAAAATTAATTTCAATTCTATACTCAAAATATGTTACGTTTTCATTTTTTATTATGCAGCACACTGGGACATAATGGAAATCTTACACTTGACACACCCTTATACTGAAAACTCGGCTTACTTTGGATTTCGCAACGGCAGCACAGCTTAAAATGGATCCAGGGAAGAAAATCAATCTTTTGGAAAGATAACAAGTAGTGTATTTCATATGGATTCGGTTATTTGATTTAAATTATTGTAATGCTTTACTATTTGTTGAACATCAAAAAGTATCTAGGAGTTGACTTAAGTCCCAGGAGTAGATTTTTTAAATAGATTAAATCCGGAGTTCAGAATCAAAATGCAACAATGGGGAGAGGAATCACAACCTGTGCGTGCACCTATTTCAGTCGTGCATCAGAGCCAACAGTTTGCAGAGAAAAATGCTTATTAAAACACGATCAGAGTAGAGAGAGATGATGCTAAGCAGCCAAATGGGAAGAAAAGAGAGGTCTTAGAAGGCACACTATTATAAAAATCTCTTTTTTAATAGTACCTTTTTCCTGCATTCAAATTATTTCATAAAATTCCTAAACCAGAACCACAGCTGCTACTATACTGGGAAAAATAATTCCCTCTAACAAATCCATGCTGAAACCACATTTATGTCAACTAGATTTTCATTAGAAAACACATCTATTCTTGCAGTTTAAGGCACAGTCTAGGAAGATTCCTACATTCATCAGTTGAACTCATCTGCTCGACCAAGGAGCCTGTGTTTTACTCATTCTCTAGCTTCTTAGAGAGAAAAAAAAGTTTTCTATCTTTGCCTGAAGAAGAGAAACTTCCTTTGCATTTACAGGGAGAAAAGAGAAGGAGGGAATGATGCTATTTAAATTCTCCAGAGATGCACAGAGAGCAATTGTATCACTTAGATTGGCCACAACAGGTATCTAGAAGTGCAAGGAGGGAACAGAGATAAAATGAGAGAATTAAAGGCTGAAAGAAGGCATGCCAGTAGCCTGCAAATTACAGGACAAGAACAACTCTCTCAGAATCCCTCTACTACTGGAGACCTCTGACACACCAAAAATCCCATTGCTGTTTTCTGCAGCATGCACAGGCACGTAGCATTGTTATTCTGGGGACTGCTAAAAAGGAGACCAGCTTCACAGAAAAATGAGTGGCTAATACCTATAAAGATAAATCCATCAGGGCTGCTACGCACACTCATCTCTCAGCCTCTAAAACAAAGGACCTTCCTCACCAGCATGCACCTGGCCATGCACTGCAATGAAGCAAGACCAGCGCAGGAGTCTCTTTCACTTGCTAGCAACAAGGTCCTAAGCTCCTCTGGATGTAGCAAGGGAACGGCAAGGGAAGAAGAAACAGAAGTGGATGCAGGAAGACTAGAGAGGGAGAAGAGGATGCCCGCTGCAAAACCACGGGCAGCATGTTCTACTGCAGGAAGCTTCATCCCCAATTCAGGCCTGTCTATGATGCAGTTAACAGATGGGATTTTTCTGGTTTGGGAACAACTTTGTGTTATTTGGAGAAAACAAACAAGTAAACAGTGTCATATGGATACAGCTTACACTTTTTCTCTTAATATATTTCAGATACATCAGACACCCTCCAGTTTTTCCCTCCAGATATTTCTGCTACTAGTTGAGTGCATGCCTGTTGTGAAGACTTTCCATCAGTTCTCTTACATTCTTTCTAAACACCTGCCTTCTCAGTTCCCAAGATGTGTTACACAGTCTAACTTAAATCGCCTACAACCCACCTTTCACTCAAAGAAAAGTTCATCTACTGGCTTCCTCCAGATCCTGACTCGCTTTCGGAACAGTCCTTACCCCCTGCCTTGGCTGCAGCCGCCGAGGGAGGCGAGCTGCGCTGCCATTCATCCTGCCTCAGCTCCCAGGAACATTCTTCCTGTCCTTAACCCTCCCCCAACACGCTTCCAGTCCAACTTTTGAAACGTCCAAACTCCTTCAGTGACTAGACGTTCCTAAAGAGGTTTGAGACAATCCATGAAGTGAATTTCATAGGGAAGAAAATATCTTGCTGTCAGTATGAAGCCCGCAAGTTCATTTTTCACAGGCTTTTCTTTTAATTGCAGAGCTCTCGTAAAATGCTGCTGCTGTCCAACTGTTTTTTCTCCATGCCATTTTTACAGGCACGCAGTGAACACTATTTAATTAACAGCAAATTTGTGACATAACCACTGTTGAGCTGCTTCTGAGAAAGGGAAGCCCATTCATCCAAAAGGCGTTCTATATGCAACATTAATTAGGCACCCTTGTCTTCATTCTGGCAATCCAGCATTGTAGAGAGTTTTGCTTCATCTCTGTTCACAGGGTCTAATTATTTCCAGCACAGAAGACTTTGAGTAGATTGGAATGGAAATCAATAACGGAACATGTGTGATAGGAACATTAGTTTTCTCCCCCTCCTCCTTTGGGATAGAAGTTGGATCAGAGGAGACTCGGCCAAGGGAAAAAAACAAAAAAAACTCTCAGCGATTTGCTGCTGCTGAGTATATAAATATCCATGTTTACACAACTCATTCTGGCATTATAAGACATTCTCATCTCTTCAGCACTTGCCATGGTAGATATATAGTGCTCCCAGTAATTTGCTTTCAAAACAATCATCTATTATTTTAATTTATTTTGACGGAACCATAAATAAAAATATGGTATCTTCAGATGCAAAATACTTTCAGTCTCAGCATGTACTACATTTGATCATTTCACACATACAAAATCAACCTTCAGGTTAAAAAGTGTTAAACCCAAAGCTGTCTGCATAACCTTAACTGTGTTTTTGTTTTAATACAAACACTAACTACATTGCACTGAGGCAGGGGAGATTTCAGTCAGACGCAAAGGAAAACTTTCTGGCAATAAGGTTCCTGAAACATTGGAAGTGATAGCCATCTGCCACCATCAGCCTGTTCTTAAAGCTCTCAGCACACCTACCATGTACCTACACCTAGGTAGATGACGTCCGTCATGGTTAGCAGAACGGACTGGTTGGTGTCTTGAGGTTCCTTCAAGTCCTAAGGTAGCCATGTTCCTACTGAGCCCCGCCTGGTTCATTCAATGCACAAACCAGACAGTGCTTATACGTGAAGGGCGATTATAAAACAATAAAAGCATCACCTCAAACCTCTGCTAAGGTATAACAGCAGTTAAACCCAATTGCACAGATGCAGGACAGTAAGGCATACAAAAAACTGTAATTTTAGAATCATTTCAGTGGCTAGAATGTCTCACAAAACCACCACATATTCAGTCTTTTTTACTAGCTTCCTACAGATCTCAGGAGACTGCAGGAACAGGAGGAGTTCAGAAATACAAACCTAACCTCAATAGTCTCAAAATTAGGCACTCTGAGAATGAAGAATGCAGAATTAATGACCAACTTAGTACTCGAAGTGACTTATCCAGCCTCACCCAATTGCTCTGTGGCAGAAATAAAGGCAAAATCCTGTTTTCTATGGTTTCACATATAGGAGTTATACAGAAAAGTGTGTTCTCAATATAGACAGCATTTAGCTGCCAAATACGTAATTTTTAGAACTTCATGATTTGATCGAATTTATTTGTATTCCCAGATACTGGCAAAGAGGATTGTTGTTAATGCCAGTAGCTGCTTTCAGACCAGAAAGCTCTTCTGCTGCATTTCTTGCTCCAAAACATGAGAGAAGCAGAGTCCCTCCAAGATTAAAAAAAAACCAAACACACACATTTTTCTTGGTCACAGAAACATTTTAGCTAATGTTTTCCTACATAAAAATTCAGCCTTACTCAGGATACCTAGCACAAGAAATTTTGGTCTGAGCACCTACATCTGGGTGAAGTTATAAATGGCTGAAAATCTCGGTTTTGTAACGGGAACTGTTGGGAAATTGCAGGTATTTCTTCCTCTACCATCAGGCTCTCTGGGTGTGCTGGAATGGAAGAGCAGAGCAGGTTCTGAAGGCAAGGACGTAACACGCACCGAATTCTAGAGGATGGCTACTGATTACGGCCTCAAACAAGAACAAGTATGCGCCTAAATCTGAGGATATGAACAGCCCTACTGAAATCAGTGATATTGTTCACACGCATATACTTAATTATATTTTACAAATCTGAAGGATTTGTAAAAGTTGAAATACTATTCCAATCCCGATTTTGCTGGTCACTAGCCAGTCGTGCTCAGACCCAAGACAAGTTAACCAAACCATTAGGAACAGTTTCTGGTAGCAATGCATGGGCAGGTTCGACAACCTGACCACATTTTTCGACCTTCTGTGTTCGCAACAGCTTTTGAGGCAATGCACCCACCACCATCCAGTTAGGTCCCAGGTGCGGCTGCTACATGCGAAGGATCGACGCTGCTTCCTCACCTCTGCAACTGCGCTCCAAGGA